TAAATTAAGAAAATAAAAACAAAAGAGTTTTCTGCAAATTGTGACTCTATTAATCGACCCCTCTAAAAAAATTACAAAAAAATGAACTCGACTTGTAAAAATCCCCAAGCTTCTAAGAGTCCATTAATAGCATTCTGCCTCTAAAGATTAAAAAGTAAAAATTACCGGGTACATTTAGCATACGAAATGTGTTAACATCAATAAACCCCTACCTTTAACTTTCTCAGGTGTAAGGTCATTGAATGTCGACTGAACAAAGTTTTGCAAATAATGAGGTCGAACAAAAACTTTCACCTGGAAAGATCAAAACAATATAAGTAATATCTAAAGAACTATCAAGTAGTATTATATTTTTTTTATCATCAGTTCGAGAGTATTCAAACAGAAAATTGTACTGGTCAACAAGCATCCATCAACCATAAACAATTATAGAATCGTTCATATATAGAGATATAACACAAAAACAGTTATTAATTAGATTTTAAGCATTAGATATTAGACTTCTACATGCAAAAGAGATAAAATCAGACTTTAAGTTCAGATCCGGAATAGAAAAGAAGGAAAGTAAATTCGCATGTAAATCAGCACCGAAAATGATACTATTCCTGCATTTCTTCGGTTATATGGTATATATTACTATAGACTAAATATGTGTTTAAGAGATCGTCTAATTAAACGAGGAGAGATTGCAGGCGTCAACCAAACGGATCAAATTTGATCACAAATTCAGATCAGAGTGATGTAACACGCGAGATCAAGATATCTGAGCTCGATCTAATTAAATGGATTACCTTCTTACGGAGCCAGAAGTTCCAGGCTTCTGGCCTTCGAACGGCGTCGTTGAGACTTTGGAAACCTTGAACACCATTTCTTAGCTGTCCCTGTCAAATACGCTCAGATCAAATCAATACGAATCTCTTAAAAGAAAAAGAAGAGTTGAAAAATAGGAGAAAGATGGAGCTCACTCGTTGGAGAGATCAAACTGAAGCTGGCAAAAATGACGAAGTGACGGACGGGTATTACCTTTTTCAAATATATATATCTATTTGCTTAAATTATATATAAAGTTAATTTTAAGTTTATAAAAATAATTTTCGTTTAGAATATGTATTTAACCTTTTTTTTACACTTTTATGTATATATATATTTGCTTAAATTATATATAAAGTTAATTTTAGGTTTATAAAAATATTTTTTTGTTTAAAATAGTTATTTAATGTTTTTTACACTTTTATGTACATATTATTAAAAAAATTCGTTAAGTAATACATATCATGTTTATATTTTTTTATTTTTGTAAAAAATAAAATATTATTTAAAAATATTTGTTTAGAAAAAATTTAAATAAGATAGTAACTTTTTTTAACGGTGGACACCTAAGAATGTAACGAGAAAATATTAGACATATTTTTAATTAATTTTTTAAAAAAAAACTAAAAATCGACTTTAAATATAGTTTGGGTAGTTAATTTTACATTAATACATATATTATTTGTATTTGCACTTTTAAATGAAATAAACGCCAAATAAGAAGCTCTGCGAGAATAATGAATGGATACTAAAGCCAGAAGGGCAGAGTACACTATTAGTCAGTTTTTTCTTGGATAAAGTACCCTGATTAATGAATGTTATTTTATTGAGTCATCATACTATTAAAAGCTATAAAATGATCCATTAACTACAGGGTGATATTTTGTTGAGTCCCTCGAATATTAAAACTTATAAAACGGTCACCCTACTATTTATATGGTACAAATTCATCATTTTCGTTAAAAAATTGACGACCGTTTGAGCTGGATGCTAATATACTAACTCGAATATGATAAAATCATATTTTATTGATGTATATTGGCACCGTCATTGTTTTCAAGCATTGGTTTTGGGATCAGATTTTTATCATATCTAGTGAGCAAGTTAATGTCAAGCTCGGACGACCATCAATTTTTTAATGAAAAGAGACGACTTTATAATATATGAATAATTGGGTGACTATATTCAACAAAGCAATACCTTATAGTTCATGGACCATTTTGTAACTTTCAATAGTCAAAACTCAATAAAACAACGTCCTATAGTTGGGAATACCCTTCTTTTAACTTTGCTTGGTAGGCGGCGATAACCATTTTCATGTCGGTCGTCGACGATTGATTTTCTTCAATTTTCCTTTTTTTTCTTATATCACACATTACTTTTTCTTTTTTTTCTTTAATTATTTTCTCATGTCTCTACTCTTATTTATGATCTGTATGTAATCTTTCAATAGTTTGATACATTTTCATGGTTCGTTTGATGATATGGTTAGACATGTTCTTATTTATCTTTTGTTCAAGTTTTTTCATTAGATTTTCAACATTTTCTTTGTATGATCTAAATTAATTAGTTTCTTTTGTCCATGGTTATAAAAAATCATAATTATATGTTTAGTTAAACTTTCATTGTAATTTTGAATATTTATTTATTAGGTAAACTACACCCATGTTTGGTAATATTTGAATAAATTTTTGTTTCCCCACTAAAGTATCAAAAGTAACAAATCAAACATTAACGATATTGATTTATAACAAAATGATCACTAATGCTATTGATTTGTAACAAAACAATCAATCCACTGTCATCTCCGTTAAATTGATGGCATGGCAACGTTAACAAAAAGATTAATATTTTATTTCACCCTTAAACTAGTGCTAAAATATCAAATAGGTCATTGAACAATGATTTTATATCTAATTTACCCAAAAAAATTATAATTTCCATTTTTTCCCAAACACCCCATTACCTTACTATATTCAAACCATGCTCCTTACAAAATGAAAATCACACTTAAATAATTAGGATCACTTTCCTTAGTATTTGTTTCAACCACACTTAAACAAAACCTAAAAAGTCTAAAACTATATTTAGATGTAATACAAATCTTCGAAACTCGGTGTTTTTGTTCTTATCTTGCAGTGTTACGTTGGAGTAAAGTACTTAACGGTGTGCTTTATTCTCTCCTTAGTATTTGATTTTTGGTTCGTAGGTTACTAGTTGTCTAAAATATATAATGAAACAGAATGGTTCACTTTTTATTTTTTTGCAATAAAGAGATGGTAACTTATTGTCTAAATATAGATGTTTTGTTTGCGTGTGGTTGAAACAAATACCAAGGAAATTGCTCCGAATTGTTTAAATGTATTTTTGGTTTTGTAAGGAATGTGGTTCTAATATGTTGGAGGTGGTGGGGTGTTTGGGAAAAAATAAAAATTAGAAAGCTTTTGGGATAAATTAGATATAAATTCATTGTTCAAGGACCTATTTGATGTTTTAGAAATAGTTTAGTGTCAAAATGAAATATTAAACTTTTTCGTTAATGTTGTCACGTCATCAATTTAACGGATGTAACGGTAAAGTGATCATTTTGTTACAAATCGATAACTTTAATGACCACTTTGTTACAAATCGATAATATTAGTGATTGATTTGTTACTTTTTCAGTATGAAAAATGAATACTTACTCAAACATTAGTGATTATTGATATACTTTACCCTTATTTATTTTTTATAAATTAAGTGAAAAGAATATGGCTAAACTACTTATTTATTATCTAAACTTTTACTTTTTTAAAACATACCTAATGTTTAGCTATTGTTTCATTTTAGTAACTCACTCTTAAAAACTTAACGCGTTTAGTACATAAACTATCAATTTTGGTCATTTGAGTATCTAAAATTCCAAAAAATTTCAGAACTTTAAATTAAATTTTGAACAAGGATACTAAAATAAAACAAAAACTAAACTTTAAGTATGCTTTTGTAAAAAATGAAAGTTTAGGTACTAAAATGGAATAAAACTTCTAGTTTAGATACAAAATGTACAATTTGCCCAAAGATCATTTGGAATTTTAAATAATATATCACATGACACCGAAAATTGAAACTATGATCCAACGGCCATGAACGAGAAGATTCTCGTTTACATCCAATGGCTGTTGTTTATTACATGAGATCACGTGGATCGGTGACGTGGGTGGAAGCTGAACTTGGATCGGAAGGCTTTGAACATGGGAGAAATTATTCGATTGATTCGGCATACTATGTCATTTATATTCTCAAATGAAATTCATAATTTTTAAAATATTTTTTAAATAATTATTTGTTTATTTATATGTAAAAAGAAGATGAATTTTTATCTTAAAAAAATAAGATAAACAAATATTATTAATTACCACCATAGATAACGTGACGAGTTATATCAATCTAATAATTTTTCGAACTCTGACTTTTATGAATTTATCCCTCTCCTCTCTTTTCAAATTCCATGACTTTGAAGAAAAAAAGTTCTTTAGTTTTTTCCCTTGCCATGGCCCCAACATTTAAAAAATTATAGTTTAGACCCTTAAACTTTTTTAAAAAAAATAATTTGGTCCCCAAATTTAAAAAAAAATTCAAATTAAACTTTTAAATTTGTTAATATTCTTAATTTAATCCTCTAAAAATTTCAAAAAATTTAGTTAGACCCTGGTATTTTTAGAAAAATGTAAATTATACCCTTCAAAAAATTTAAAAAAATTAATTTAAACTTCTAATTTTTTTAAAAGTTTAAGTTGGTCCCCTCCTAGCTTTATCATCAAATTCTGCCACTGGTTATATTTTCCGTAATATTTTAGATTCAACCGAAAATATTAAAAAGTTATAATATATTACTTTTGATATGATTTATTAAAAATAGTTTATGTATATTAGTTAAGGATAATGACTAAACAATTAGATTTTTTATTACAGGCGTGGTCTTGAAAAGGAAACTTGCTACGATATTTTATTACAGGCCAGTTGGTTTAAACTAATAGAAAGAAAGAAAGATTCCACTACGAAAGTATGCAAACACAATTCGAAACTCTAAACACAGGCAAAAAAATACACAACATAACCGATTTACATGCAAATTACGAGTTACGCTAAAATCTAAACCCTGTTTCAATGCATTACAACACTCTTTTTTTGAAGAAGAAAAGGCCTAAAGAATCAATTAGTGGAGAAGAGAACTAAACGAAACAAGACTAAAAGATGAAGTCATGCTAGCTCCAGTGCTTTTGCTTTAAGCTTTAGTGCTTTAGGTTACACTTTCGGCGGTCGACCGCGACCTCGCTTGACTCCAGGTGGTGGAGGGGCGGTGGCGGGTGTTGTTTTAGCTATCTTCGGGGGGCGTCCGCGTGGCCGTCCTGTGCTGACGGGGGTTTTGGGCTTAGGCGGAGCAGACGGATCTTTGGGAGGACGACCACGTGGTCTAGGCGGAGAGACGACGGTGCCGGCTGGAAGAGGAGCTTTGGGCTTGGGAGGACGGCCACGGCCGCGCTTGGGTGGTGCATTGGGGTCGGGTCTCATGTAATTGTTCTTCACCATCACGATTTGACCGCTGTTTTTCATCTTGTGGAGGTGGTGGGAAAGTAGAGTGGTGTGAGCCGCCGGGAGATCCGAGTGAATCGACTCGATGTGCTTCGCTATTGTTGACTTATTCGACCCGGCTTTCTCATTCAATGCGTCTATGGCTTCCAAAACCATCTGCAAAAAGCAAGCCGAAAACGGAGAATAAGATAACATAAAACGACGAACAAGACTAAAAAAACTTCTGGGTAAAGCTCAAATACCTGAGAATAGTCCGGAAGTAGAGATTGTTGAGCTTGGGGGGGACCTTGAGTTTCATTAGCCGCCATTGAAATTTGAAGCTCTTTTTCTCTTTCTTTTGCTCGAGGGGAAAGAGAGGGACTGTTGTTGTGAAGGGAGAGTGATAGGAGGACAGGGTTTAAAAGGAAAAGATGGGAGGAAGAAGAAAGGTAGGAGCTATGATCCAACGGCTTGGAATTGCTGAATAAATCCAATTGTTACTGTTCATTACATATGAGATCACCAAGATCGGTGACGTGGGAGCAAGCTGAAATACAAGTCTGGATTTATGAATTGGCATGATATCCAAATTAGCACCAAAATTTATTAAGGGTAAAGTAAATAAATGGTCTCCGGCTCTAGGATACTATTTTATTAAGTCCTCCAATTATTAAGAGTTATAAAATGGTCCTCCAATTATAAAATGTTATTTTATTGAGTTACTCGACTATTAAAAGTTACAAAATGGTCATCAGACTATTCACTATGTTCTAAACTCGTCCGTTTATGTTAAAAAATTGACGGTATTCTGAGCTGGACGTTAACTTGGTGACTGTTATATGATAAAAATATTATCTCAGAATCTTAAATGACTATCATATTTTAGTCATCATGTTAACGTCCGACTTAGACAATCGCTAATTTTTTTTAACAGATAAGGACGAATTTAAAACATAATAAATATTTGAGTAACCATTTTATAACTTTTAATAAACAATATATTTAACAAAACATAACAAAACAACATTCTCGATGATTACAGATTTTTTGACATTATACATTGTGAATTTCATCTATTTGAAAAAAAAATTGGCTTTTTTTGTGTGTCAACGGTCTATTGGTTCACCAAAAGGCTTTCAGAATTATTAAGACAAATGGGAAAAGGCCACGTGGATCGGATTGCGGAAGGTTGGATTTAAAGGTACGGTTGACTTTGAACTTTGAAAGGGAATATAGACATGGTCGTACAGTATCATAATCCCCAACCTCGGTTGTCTCGCACTCTCTCGTCTCTGTCTAGTTCTCGAATTCGAAGGTTATCCGAACCGTACAATTAAAATCAGAGACAATGTAAAGTGAGAGACAGTGCCCTTAGTCCCCAAAAATTTGAAAAACTAATTTATAATCCCTTCAAAAATATTATTTTTTACATTATTGCAATGGTAAATTCTACTTTAGCCCCCTATAGTTATAAAATATGCCTTTTTGCCTCTTTAAAAATGACTTTTTACATATGCATCCTAAAGAACAAAAATTAGTAACGCTTTAATTATGTGATCCACAAAGAATAGTCCAAAATCTACGGCAAAACTTAACTCTGAGCTGGGCGCTTTCCATGCGGATCTGATCTCAAGGGGCTTGCAAGAGCTGATGCAGAAGCAGATGCAGAAGCAGATGCGGTATTAGTATTAAAGGTTGATCCAGATGAATGGGAATCCGAAAGACCCGACGATCCGGCAGTGGAAGAGAATCCAGGAGGCCTGCGGGATCTTCGGTATCGAGTACCCGAAACTCTGGGCCTCGTTGGCTCTTCGAGATGCCATGTCTTTTCGACAGCAAAATAACAACCCGACGCATGTCGGGTCGTAATTGCGGATCACCTTGCGTGCATGGCAGACCTATTTGGATGCACATAACTACATGTTCAGGGACTGCTCAAACATGATTTTTTTATCACTTTCAACATGATTTTATCTGTCAACTTAGAATGCTCAAACATGATTTTTTTATCAGGTAAATACAAGATAGTATATGTTCAAAGACAACTTTTAATCACTTGATATTGAATGTTCACACCTCTGACATTTTTTATGCTCGAACTCGAAGCCTCTAAAAATAACAATAATTCATTTACCACCGAAATTGTTCGATTCATGCTCGAACAAAAATATAATAATAATTCCGAACTCGCTCATTATTCATCGTGGATTGTTAAATCAACATCACATATTATCATGTCAATATAACTAATTATTATATTTAAAGTTACAAACTGTCATCCGACTATTCATTATATTCAAAGTTCATATTTTTCTGTTAAAAATTAACATCATTCTAAGTTGGATATTAAATTGAGGACCGAGATATGATAAAATATGATATAATAATAAAAAACCACTATTATATCTCAGTCAACATATTAATGTCTAACTTAGATCACTGTTAATTTTTTTATAACAAAAATGGCGAGATTGGAGCATAATGAATAGTTAAGTGACCATTTTGTAATTTTTAATAGTCAAGGGACTCAACAAAACAACTCTATATAATTACAAATATATTTTGTAACTTTTAATAGTTGATAGACTTAATAAAATAATAACTTATAATTAATCAGGGGACCATTTGTGAACTTTACCGACAAATATACCATTATAAAATTTTAAAATTAAATTTATGGACGAGGATATATAATTTTACTTTCAGGGCTTTAGGCCCACATCAAACCTTATCAAGGTTCTAGAGATTTGTTTGAGTCCAAAAACGAAAGGCTGGCGTGACAGTTGGGAGATTACCATGGCCTCTATTAAGGGTTGTAAGAGAGGGCTACACCAAACCTATTTCACTTGGGGTTTAAAATAAAAAGGCTTTTCCAAATTAAATACATATAAAAATTATAGCTGGCCATTATAGTATTAATATAATAATTAGCTCTAATCTATGAGCAGTGGTAGATGTATGTTCAATTTATGGTGGATATGTGCTTACCCTAAAATCCGAATTTCTTTATGGTAGTTGTGTTTATTCCATAATTTTTTTATTATCGATATATATGTGTTCACCCTAAAAAAGTATTTCTGGATCTGCGGGACTATAGCATTGGAGTTGAGGGACATGTGCATGGATGCCAATGTGCCCAATGCTTGAAACAAGATTTTAGGTGCATTGTGGTCCTAAATGGGACACTTGGGATGCACGTATCGCCTAATATGAAGCTTCGAGTGTAAGTCGTGAACCCCAAGTATGTTTAAATCTTAATACCATGCACAAACCCAGTTTTAGCTCGTTCATGAACACATTGATAGAAAAGAGCGTGCTGGCCGTAAGTCATTGTGTACTACATGATAAGCACATGGGCTTGGTGGGGACCATTATCTCTCTTGACTGTTCTAGTTATAGGGCTGTAAATTAACATAACATTTGATAAATTATTTATAAATTACTTTTGCCTATTCTAATTCTAAGGTGTAAATAAATTTAACCCGAACTCGTTAGACAATACAAATCGAACATAAACATTTTCAAAAATAAACAAATGAACACAAACATCTTTATATCGAAGGTTAAACAAACAAAACACATTAAACAACACAAATCGAACATAAACATCTTTAAAAATAAACAAACACAATCGTCATTACATGTTCAAGTCCACTTCATTTACACACCTATCTAGTTCTTAGGCTCAAACACATGTTAATGGTGTGCTTCATCTTCATCAACAAATGCCCAAATGCCAGAAAACTCAAAATGTGCCACCCTTTAATCGTTGAATATCGGTGAACAAACCAACTACTTTGCCTAATCGATTCACACGATTCAAAGATAAGAACAAGTGATTATGACGTCGATCAGGTCATAAAGTAGAAACAAAATTCTTAATTTGTCATAGTTTGAATGCTTCAGTCCAACTACAGTGTACTACATATTTCTAAGCAAAAGACCATACCCAACAAGCAAGGGAGAAACATCATGGAAAGCAAATTGCAACATCAAAGGAAATTCAAAAATATAATCATCAATAGAACACTGTAAATGTTCATTCTTTATTGCAATGCAAAAACACTGGAAAGTAGATTTTTTTTTCTCAGTTAAATGAGAAAAACAAGGTAAAGAACATAAAACCAACATTCTACCATACGAGTTGGGTTTAATTTAATGAGATGAAATCTTGAGAGTGAGGGATTTATTAAACCAAGCCTTCCAATTCCCAGGCGATTTCCTAGAAATGGACTCAGCTGATTTTCCATCGTTTTCCACTTTCTCAGTCACCGGCTTCTTGCACAGCATGAAATTCCGTGCACCTTGTGATCCAATCGTCTCCCATGGACTCAGTGCTGCAATGAAAAATACCCAAACACCAAAATCATTAATTTCGAATTCTAGAGTGAAAAATTCGACATGGAATTACAAGAAACAGAGTTGGATTTGAGTGAGCTCACCATCTGATCCAGCAGTGGGGCAATAAAGGAGGAAATCATTGAGATTGGATCCGAGAACAGGAAGGCGACCCTCACGAGCATATGATTTCAAGGCGGTATCAATGACGGCGCCGACGAGCTCTTCCTCGTTAACAACAAAACGGATCGGTCCAGCACTTCCGAGAACGGTGACGCTGATCAAGAGCCGGCTGCCCTTCGGAACCTGGTTCTTCTTCTGCTTGTAAAGCAACATTCTTTCCAACTTTTTTATCAAATACCCACAATAAAAAAAATAATCGAAACCCAAAAAAGATGAATGAATAATATTTCACCAACAACCAAAAACAATGGGATGTTAAGCAAAAACAAAAATACAAAAACAAAAACAAAATCTGGGTTATTGGCGATCGGCGTTTATGGGTCAAGGCCGAAGCAGCGGTAATACCAGCCTTCTTTGCAAGAGCCGAATGCGAAAGCAGAGGCGGTGACGGAAACAGGGATGACTGTGCTCGCCCTCGATTCACAAAGGGAGAGCATCAAAATACTACAGCTCCAAATTGTTTCCACCATTCACAAAAAAATACCAAAATATCAGTGTTTTGTATTCCAACAAAAAAGGGGAAAATCCAGGGGGGGAAATCCCAGATTTCGACAGAGAAATAAAGGCTTGAGAAGCGTTTTGGGGATTCAATTGACTCGGAAGGGTTTGAGGATAGGCTTTTAACCTAGACAAGCGAAGGGCTTTGATTTCTCTCTCTTCGGTTTTTGTTGTCGTGAAATTTAGGGTTTGATTTGTGTGTGTATATATGGAAGTTGTTTCCGTGTTAAGTTGGTATTAAGGGCTGAAATTGGTAGATTTACGCGTACGGTCCCTCGCACAACGAATGCCCCTTTCCTCGGCCCACCGATGACAAAAAAAAAGGTCCATATTTTCTCTTGCCTTTTGGATAAACTACGTATTCAATACCTAAACTATCAATTTTGATAGTACCTAAACTTTCATTTTTTTGAAACCATACTTAACGTTTAGTTTTTGTTTCATTTTAATACCCGCTGTTTAAAAACTTGATGGGCGGGCTGACGGGGCATAGCTCCGTTGGAATGACGACCAATCCTAACGATGGACAACGAGAGAATGATGAGTCGACCAACATAGTCCAGTTTCAGGACCATTAGATGGTGAACGACAGAGATCGGAGGATGAAGAAGTCAAAGAGTCTATAGTCAATTTGGAGATATTGAGGCATTTTCTAGTGAAATAGAGGTCGAAAAGGTATAGGCCAAAAAGTTTGGACTTCATCGATTGGCAGATGCAACAACCAATGACTGTAGACGCGATGGCGATCGGCCAACCCATTCACTAAGTTTTTAACGTCAATTATATTTTCTATTACTAATATTTTTTACTCTTGAAATTTTATAAGTTTATTGTCATCTAAATTTTAAAAATTTATCTCGATAATATAAAATCATATATCGATCTCTTATGTCCGGTCCGAAACAATATGATTTTGATAAAAAGAAACATACATTAAAATTAAAACAGATATTAGATGCGATCATTAAGATTTCAATCAAATAATTAACCACTGGTTTAAGGTAGTAGGTGGTAGTATTATTTTCGTAGACCTACCGTCATGCAGGATCCGTCCCACTTGCTTTTCTTTTCTGATCACATACTGAATGCCTACTTCCTCTACCGTATAAAAACTAAGTCACACCAATTTTTTTAATTAATCACTGGCATTTGATCTATTGATCGACTAATTCAGATCGGGTACTGCAGAGGCGAGGGTAACCCTCCCAACCCAGTTTTCTCCATTCACAAACACCAGGACTTGAAACCCACCATCATCTCGTCTCATTCACATTCTCACCTGTCGATATTGACACTATAATATGCTAGGTGGACATTTACTTGTATATTGGAAATGGAAATGGGTGGTCCAACTCGGCTAATTAGGTATATATGCCAATGCCAATAATTCATTTCCCTAACCCTAATTAAACCATATAATACGGATCAAATGAATTCAGAATTATGCTATGGGATATTCTGACCAAAGGCTATTCATCAAATTATCATCGCTTGAATTTATTGAACGATTTCAGTAATTAGAAAGAACGTTGTTCTCGTATTGGGTTCGAGCAGTTGTGTCCGTAAGATATATATAAGTTGTCAACGATTAAGAAAAAATATAAACTAATTATAAATAAATACAAGGTAAATTACACGTTTAATACATAAACTATCAGTTTTGATATGTTTCAGTACCTAAACTTTCAATTTTTTTCAAAACTATACCTAATGTTTAGTCTTTGTTTTGTTTTAGTACGTCATCGTAAAAAACTTAATGAGTAATTTTCACGTGAGTCCTTTTTTATGGGTAAATTGCATCATTCATCACTTTATTATCTTCTCACTCCTATTTTGGTCACTAAAGTTTATTTTTTTAATTTAATTACTTAAATTTCAAGTTACTCCCAATTTAATCCTCTAACTTCAAATTTTATTTTTATTTTTTAATTATATATTATTAAAATCGTAAAAAAAATACCATGTCCCAAAAGTTATTAATAAAATAAATCAGAGTGATTAACATAGGTGCAATTTGGAAGTTGAGTAGTTAAACTGAAATTTTTAAACTTTAGTACCGAAATAAGAGTGAGAAGATAGTTGAGGGATGAATGATGTAATTTACCCATAAAAAATGCAATGCCGTTAAGTTTTTAATACTAAAATGAAACAAAACTAAACATTAGGTATGGTTTTGAAAAAAATTAAAAGTTTAGATACTAAAATGGATCAAAATTGATAATTTAGGTACTAAATACGTACTAAAATAAACAAAAACTAAATATTATGTATGATTTTGAAAAAAATTGAAAGTTTAGATACTAAAACGGATCAAACTTATACTTTAGGTACTAAATATGTAATTTACCCATAAATGCAATTTGCAAACTTTCACATGCTTGAAATATAAAGAAGGTTTTCCCTTTGAAAGTCAATTCTGCTCTTATGAAAGATCAACTACATTCAACCCAGCTGGTTGGACTTGAAATGTGTTTTTTAAGTCCCCCAACTTTGAATTAATTTCACATGTTGAACGACAGAACCGGAACTGAAAATTGCATGTTAGCCGATAGGAAAAGACACGCCGGCAATCATATTAAAATCACAGTTCGTCAACGATTGAAGATCGTAATCAGGAGCCACTAATATAATATTTTCATTAACAATTCAAGGCTTAAAGCCGTACTGTTCCATGCTTTGGTATTTTGTTTCTGTTATTATAATATTGACAGATAACTTATCACTTTGAGCTGATAACATCTCACATGCATGCATGCATGCGCCGTATGCAGTTAATCTATGTCATGCCGTATGTCATGTGCTGTTTTTCATCGATGCAAGTCAAATATCATGGCTGTCATCTGCAGATTAAGCATCGAAGTTCGAGAGAGGAACTGTTTTGATGATGCTTCACTGTCATTCAGTATATTCTCTGTATCAAATACTTCGGTGGCTAGCTGTTGTTTAATGTCCCTAACCTAGGGACGAGATGAGTATAATTTCGTAGATTTTGTATCGTATCCGTTTCAATTGAAATAGAAATGAGTATAAGTTTTATGGGTAGTGGTGATGAGTTTGAAACTTTACCCGTCTCGTATTTGTTCGACTCACATTTGTTCGTTCACTAACTATCCAACATATAAATTTTAGATCATTGTGAATTTATGTATAATTTTAGAGACTAATCTATAAATTTTAAGATTTTATAAGAGATAACTTGTAATTTAACCAAATGTTGGGTATAATCATTTTTAGAATTAAAGACCGTCGTTTCTCTTATCTTAAATTGACGGATATGGGTTGATATAGACGGATATGAAATGTGTGATGAATATTCAATTAGGTAGGGAGTGTGGAGGTAAATTTAAAAATATACTCGTGGACAAGTATGGATTTAAATATTTTACTTTTTATGAGTGATGAATATATAATAAATATAAAAATATTAGATAAATATAATGATAGAAAAAGAAGTATCCGTACTCGCCCCATCCATATGCCATCCCTACCCAAATCTCTCATCCCTTCAACATTAGGAAGACACCCTACCTTATCTTTATGCATGTTGGTGGTGATAGCCTATAGGTCACTAAAATGTCCTTTATATGGGCGGTGCACTAGCCATTGACTTGTAAGAAATGAATTTAGATGCAGCTTTTGGAGCATGAATCAACGTATCGGTATCACAAAGGGATTGCTTCGGATTGGCCGTCGGCCAATAATGGTTGAGTAAATGAGATCACATATGATTATTGTACCGCCGGAGATATTTCTTTGTATGTGATAACTTCACAACCTTTTTTTTAGCCTATCAAAGTTTTGGACAACATTTCGTTTATTTTTATTTTTTTTTGAGATTTATATCATTCGATCGATCATAATCTTTTGACATGATTTTTAATAAGTTTATATGATATGTTAGAGAAATTTGTAATTAGACAGTCATCTTCATTTATCTTACTAACTTACGAGAAGTCATCATGAGCGTAGACATTATCTTAATATCAAAAGTCAACATATAAATTAGAGGACTAGAACCCTATTTTCTTTTCCTCACCCTTATATTATTCATCTTCTCCGATTCAACATTCTTTATAAAATCATGACTCTCAATTTAAATCAAAACAAGTAAATCGCCTATAATTATTATAACTCCAATTTTATCATCAATGGTGATGAATTTAGCTTTGGGCATGCATGTGCTAAAAGGAGGGTTGTCTTTGTGTGGTGTATGCTTTTTATGATGTTTCCCATTACAAAAAAAAAAAACATGCATCATTATGCACATGTTGGGTTGAGTTACTCATAGAATGATAGAATCCCATAACTCGGTTGTTGGTCCATACGGAAACTGGTCAGTTGTGCCTTGGATTATTGTTTACTGAGTCATGAACATGGGTGATGGCAGAGTCACATGCGATTTGTACCAAAAAAGAGAGAATCTCACTCCATATCCATGGACAATGCGACCGAAGGATATATTATACAAAAGTATTGTCCGTCTATCTCGAAATCTGATTTTAATAAATTAGTAAAAAGGTATTAGTCTATGTACTTTTAAAAAATTTGGGAATTGTATTATTTTTCTCTCAATTTGACCCTTCAAGTCAGAAAATAAATTCAACGTGATCTTTTGACCAACGCTTTTCGTCATTGATCGTTACCATGCTGACGTGATAGTCCATGGTGTTGACATGCCAATCTACGGAGGTTGATAACGTGGCATATAACATGACATATGAACTAAATTTATAACTCAAACATGTCACATAGACTGTCACATCAATACTGTGAACTACCATGTCAGTACCGTAATGATCAAACCATGAAAAACGTTGGTCAAAGGACCACATTGGGTTCGTTTTCTGAGTTGGAGGACCATATTGAGAGAGAAAATAATACGATGATCATATTGATTTTTTCAAAAGTACAAAAACCTCTGATGTATTTTTGCCTACAAAATTTAACCTATCAATCGTACTATCGGTGCATAAAATGTAAATTATATTATAAAAATATAATTAATTTATGACCACCTATTAAAATATATAGTTAAAATATTTACTTGTATATCATTTTACAAATAAAATTTTTAATTCAAAATTAAGAAAATCAATTTGGGCCTTTTATTTAGAGTCAGATAAGTTATCCAAGCCTACAAATGGTATCATTTGTAAGTGGGCTCGGATCAAGAACCTTACATTTGTATGACTTATCTAATTATGGTTTTATTTAGGGTAAACTACTTATTTAGTACCTAAACTATCATTTTTGGTCCATTTTAATACCTAAACTTTCAACTTTTTCAAAATCATATCTAACATTTAGTTTTTGTTTCACTTTAGTACACTATTGTTAAAAACTTAATGCGTTTAATGCCTAAACTATCAGTTTTGGTATGTTTTAGTACTTAAACTTTTATTTTTTTCAAAACTTAATGTTAAATTTTGAATATAGGCACTAAAATAAAACAAAATTGAATTTTAGATATGATTTTGAAAAAATTAAAAGTTTATGTACTAAAACGGACCAAAACTGATAGTTTAATAACTAAACACATAATTTACCCTTTTATTTATTTAAATAACTTCTTAGATTTTAATTTAAAATAAGTATTCTATTTTTTTATAAAAATAAAATAAAAATTTTAACTTTTTTAAAGTATCAATTAAGTTTTTCTATTGTGACATCATCTACCACGAATTGTCACATCATCATTTGAATAATTAATTCAACATCATAAAATAGTATATCAATATTATAACAATAAACGCCGTTTAAAATAAATTTAAAGATTATATTGATTTATTAAACCAAAAAATAATGATGATTGAGTATATATAATAACATTAATATACTTTATATATATATATATATATATATATATATATATAGGTCACAATTAGATTTGTCAATGGAGTCCACGCCTAAACAAAATATTCGGTATCCCTACCCTCTTTATTAATAATTGGATTTTTTTAATGCAAATCATTTAACCTTCGTTTGTATATAATAAAGGAAAGGGTAAAGTATACAAATGGTCCCCTAACTATAAACTACTACTTTATTAAGTCATTTGACTATTGAAAGTTACAAAATCATCTTTCAACTATAGAATGTCACTTTATTAAGTCCATCGATTATTAAAAGTTACAAAATGATCATCAACTATCATTATCGACGTTAAAAAATTGGCGGTTGCTAAGCTGAACGTTAACATGATGACTAAGTTATGATATTCGTTTGAGATTTGGGATCATATTTTATTATATCACAGTCAACATGTTAACATTCATATCATAATATCGTCAATTTTTAACGGAAAAGGACACGTTTGGAACATAATAAATAATCGTGTGACCATTTTGTAACTTTTAATAGTCAAAGGAATTAACAAAGCTACATTCTATAGTCAGAGGACTATTTTATAACTCTTAATAATCGATGGACTTAATAAAGTAGTACTATAGTAGAGGGACATTTTGTGTACTTTACCCTAAAAGAAATTGTCCATTAAAAATTTTCTCAATCCTTCTAATACATCATCATCATGTGAATAACTTTTTAATATTTTTATCCAAACCAATTTAATATAATAATTGTGATTAGAATAAATTTGGATGGAGTATGGAGTGTAGTTATATATCAATCATGCATATAGAAAACCTAATGACAATTATATAATAATAATAATAATAATAATAATAATAATAATAATAATAATAATAATAATAATAATAATAATAATATCAACATGAAGAGCGATAGCATGGTATCAACATATACAGGGACAAACGCAAGATTCTATGTTAAGAGGGTGGACTTGAACTTTTGAAAATCTAGGGGGCGAACTTGAATTTCAGAGGAGGGGTGAAAATAGATTTTTATATTATTAGATTAATATATGACTGAGATATAATAAAGTTGATCGAATTATTAATTTAAAGGGTAAAAGCGTAAATAGTCCCTTGACTATATGATATTATTTTATTAAGTCATTCGATTATTAAAAGTTACAAAATGGTCATTCGACTATGAAGTGTTGCTTTGTTGAGTCATTTGGCTATTAAAAGTTACAAAATTGTCATGTGACTATTCATTATGTTCCAAACTCATCTTTTCTGTTAGAAAAATTGATGGTTGTTTAAGTTGTATATTAACATGATGATTGTGATATGATAGTCGTTTAAGATTTTGGGATCAAATTTTATCATATAACAATTAACAAGTTAACGTTCGGCTCATAATATCATCCATTTTTAACGAAAAATGACGGGTTCGGAACATAATGAATAGTCATGCGACCATTTTGTAACTTTTAATAGTCGAAGAACTTAATAAAACAATACCTTATAGACGAGACCATTTGCTTTCGTTGCCCTAATTTAAATTAGATTTATATAAAAAATGGCTTAAGTTCTCTTTGAACATCTCGAAGATCTTTCCTTTCATGTCGGGCATTACATACGCAAATACAAACACACCATACATTAGCTCAAGCAACAACGTCAAACATAGAAGCTTTTCATGCTTCAATCAAGCACAGCACACCCAAACACACACGAAATTACATAAACGCATAGCGAAAGCTGTCGAAACCAGCTTCTTATTTACTCGAACACAGTATTAAACAGCATTGTAAGCATAGGTGAGGTATGCACCGAGCGCTTTGATCACCTCGACTCCCAGATCCAACAGCGCCTGCGGTGTCGAAACATTGTCGGTCAGCTTCACGTACGTGAAAGTCAGATGCACCGTGGTTCCCACGAGCTTTTGATCGGCGTTGATTTTGACGGCGAAAGTGCTGAACTCAGTCGACAGGTCCCCCTTGATCAATCCGTATGTGACGGATTTGGTGAACGGATTGACCGAGGTGATGGCCAGGACTACAGTTTGAGTTACCCCACCTATGTTCAAAAGTAAAATAATCTTATTATCTATTCAAAGGGAAGAATATGTAAAAGATTTTATACATAACATCCGAAATCCTTCTAATGTATAAATAAATGGTCTCTTTGATAGACTATTCGGAGTATTTCAATCTCAACGTTTTATTTTGAGATAATATAATTTCTATGTGGATAAAAATCGTTAATCAATAAACTGTCAGTATTTTTGTCCTAAACTAAAAAAAATAATTAGTGACCAAAAATGTACAGAGTCTTTTTATCCTAAAATAAAATGTTAAAGAGTAAAAGTGCTAAAAATGAATAAAAACTAAAGTGACTATTTATTTAAGACATAATGTCAAAAAATACCCTTAATGTTCGACTAAATAATCATTTTGATTTACATTCTTTTTTTAGAGTTTGGTTCCCAACGTTTCGTTTTGAGATAAAAAGACCCATTTGTAGATGAAAATTGTTAATTAACAAACAATCAGCGCTTTATAATAAAGATCCTTTTATCATAAAATGAAATGTTAAAGGTAAAATTACTCCAAAAAATTAAAACATAGTGATTATTTGATCGAAAGCTAGGGATCATTTGGAATAGTATTATACCTTTAATTAAATGTTAAAGACATAATACCAAAAATAGCTCCCAACGTTTACTAAAATGATAATTTTGCCCCTATTCTATTTTCTTTGAAGTATTTTATCCCCCCAACGTTTCACTTTGGGACAAAAAGATCACTTTATAGATGAAAATCATTAGTTAACACACGATTAATATTTTAAAATATGAGTCGTTTTTAACCTAAAATGAAATGTTGAAGACTAGAATATCCCAAAAACAAAAGAATAATAGATGAAATGATTATTCTGATAAATATCCCAAAACAAAAGAATAATGGACTTGAAATAAAACGTAAAGAGCAAAACATGATTTGGCCTACCGAAAACATAAGTCCATTGGGTGATGGCACCCAAAGCTCCCCACAGACCATCGAGCAAATCGCATGATTTAACGATGTCGGGCACGATGGTCGTCAGCTTGAATGGGGCGGTGCACATCACCCCGAAGAATTTGTCGGCTGAAGCACTGATTTCCACGTCAGCCTCTAGTGTACCTATTAAAGAAGACATCTTTTACGACAAGTGTTTTAGGGTTTAGCGGGTGTCTGTTTGTGAATAAGATCGGAGAACCAAACTCCATTATATAGACTACTAGCTTGTGAGGGAAAACGGTAGGTTTAATGCAAAGTTGAATACATTTTATTTAAAATAAAAGGAACCCTATCCGTGGAAGTTCAAGTATGATTGATTAAGGGTTAAATTATATATTTAGTATCTGAATTATCAGTTTTAATATGTTTTAGTACCTAAACTTTTAATTTTTCAAAAATCATAGCTAAAGTTTGATTTTTATCATTTTAGTATCCGTTCAAAATTTAACGTTAAGTTTTGGAAAAATTTAAAGTTTAAGTACTAAAACTAATCAAACTGATTGTTTAGGTACTAAACGCGTTGAGTTTTTACCGGTGTGATAGTAAAATGAAACAAACACTAAACTTTATGTGTGGTTTTGAAAATTAAAAGTTTAGGTACTAAAATAAACTAAAAATAATATTTAAGTACTAAATGTGTAGTTTACCATTGATTAAACAATTGAACTGATGTGATTAATTTAAGTTTTTTCTAAGATATGCAATGGATTTTGTTGTTCAATGACGAATTCATTGATGTAATATTTAATCAAACCATAGAAACAGAAAACATAATGCCATTTGGGAATAAATAATCTTATAATCGGATAATTATAAGATAATATTGATCGTAATTTTCTTAATTATTTGTTAATATGTACACATTCTAATAATATATCAGCTCGAATTCAAGGCTTTTAAGAAAAATTAAATATTCTTTTACCACTGATATCATTTAATGAATTCTATTTATAATTTAAATTGAATTGGGTCTAAATAAGATATTTGATATTCCTACTAGGGGTGCTTAATGAGTTGAGCAACTCGAACTTGACTCGATTAAAACTCGTTAAAAGCTCGACTTGAATTGACTTGAATTCGAGCTCGACTTGAACTTTAACGAACTGAGTCAAACAAACCCAACTCGACTCGATAAGTTCGTGAGCAACTCATTAATTTTTTTTATAATTTTTTATTAGTTATATCCAAAAATTATTTTATTCAAAAAAATTACTAATTTACTAATAGATAATAAAAAGATGATAAATTACTAATATATTATTTTTCTATTAAATAATAAAAATACTAAATTAATAATTAATCATTATTATTTTACTACACCAAAAATTCTAATTATTATTTTAATGTATTTGTGGAATGTTATTGTGGGAGTTTAGACTTTCCATTTGTTTCGTACACTCTTTTGATAATTTTTAGTTAAATTTATTAATTTATGTTTATATTAAGCTATATATAATATTAGTACATTTTACATACAATTAAAAAATAAGATAAAAATTTTGGTGTGCTTCACGACCAATGAGCGAGCAACGAGCTTAGAGAGCAACGAATTTAACGAGCACGAGCTGAGCAACAATTTTTTTTAACGAGCTCGAGTCGAGCAAAATTTTGACTAGCTTAACGAGCAATGAATCGAGTTGAACAACTTTTAACGAGCACGAATCGAGCACTGTCCAACTCGCGACCGAATAGCTCGATAACCGCCCCTAATTCCTACACAATCATCCCTCTTGATTGATAATTGATTTTTTATTGCAAATACTATACCCTAATTGTTGAACAACCCTCCACTTAATTGTATAAAATATAAGACAAGCTTATCCACTAAAAGCAATTTTTTTTTTAATTTTGAGCAGTTAAAAATGATGTTTTTGAAAAAAAATTATTATATAGTTTGTACACTTTACAATATTATAAATTTGTTTGTGGGTATTTTTAAAATTTTATATGTTTGAGACAATTTAATATGTGTATAATAACATCTATATATAGAAGTCAATCAACTTTTCAGGCTGCACCTTTTTGACCCCATGAACGTAATTCTGGTCTCCGTTTCATCAGAAAATGTCTCAATCTTCTCAAATCGATAATGAACTATTTGACTTCTTAATCGTTCGATCTCTGTCGTCAACCGTCGATGGGCTTGAAACTGGACTGTATTAATCAATTCGTCATTCTCTCGTGGTCCACCCTTCGAATTGGTGGTCCGTTTATCGGAGCTATGCTCCGTCAACCTGTCCGTTAAGGTTTTAACAACAGAGGTACTAGAATGAAACAAAAACTAAACATTAGACATAATTTTATGAAAGTTTAGGTACTAAACATGACCAAAACTAATAGTTTAAATGCTAAATGTGTAATTTACTCTTTATAAAATTTAAAATCTGAATTAATAAAATTAAAAATAAAGAACAATATTACCAATTTGACCAAAAAATTAGCACTTAAACCAATAATACTTGAGTTGATATAATCATATGTTTCATGTCTCTCATAGTCATCTTATTTTGTGTCAAATCAAATATGGGAGAAATTGATGGGTCTTGAAATTATCATGTAAATTTAATGGCCCATTAGGGAAGTCGTTGAGATCTGCCATATTACTTTATTAATCTAATCCAGATTTTGTTGGCGTATTAGTTTGATTGTATGAAAATTAAGCTTATAGGAATAAAAGAGTCATCCACAAAAAAATATTGGTAAAAATATGAAAATAAATTAAGTTTTTAGGGATAAAAAGTCCACACATAGAGCCCTCGATCATAAAAATAAAAGTAAATTACGATTTTAGGAGTTAGCCCTAGGGTGTTCAAAAACATCCAACCTGCTTGATATGACCCATCGACCAGTTGAATCAAACCTAAAAAATGAGTAATTCTTTAAAAAAAAATTAATTGACCCGTGATTTTTTCGGATAGTTGGACCGAAATATTTTTATAATTGGGTACTCGACCCGACCCGGTAGTATAACTTTTACCCTAAACTCGAACTCACCCCACTTATCCTATAAAAAACTTGACCTAAACACAATTTTTTAAATAACTGACCCAATAGGATAGGATCAAGTCTCGTGCCCACATTATAAGAATTAAGATTTTTAGTGACTATTTAATCACGACACTAAAGATTTTCATCATAAAAAATATGTTATTTATGACAAAAATTATTTTTGTCACTTTTAAAACGAGTAATTGTGACTTATTTTGTTTTGTCACTCTTTAGATAATAATTGTGACAATTTTGAAGCTCATCACTAGTGATTCGTCACTAATAGTGTTTTATTGTGACCAAAGCAATTTGTCATTATCAATTGAGCACTAATAAAATTGTTGAATTGGCGAAACTTATTTTTCATGAGAAAAATTGTAATAGTGACAATATATTACGTAGTCACTATTTATAATTGTGATGAAAATATTTTGTCACTAGTATTAGTTGGTGATTTGTGACGATAAATATTTGTCACTAGTCATATTTGGTGATTTGTGACGACAATAATTTTTATCACTATTGAAGTGAATAGTCGGGTCCTACTTGTATTTAGTCACTAATAAGATACTTGAATTGACATCACCTGTTTTAAACAAGAAACGATATAATGGTTATAATAAGTCACTATTATTATTCATAATTGTGACAATAACATTTTTTCACTAGTAAGTTTACCATTTTATAATGATATACTTGTGACAGTCTTAAATTACGTCACAAGTATCACTATAAGAGTAAAAGTTTTTACTGACAAATTGATAGTGACTATTAGTAATTTTGTCATAAAATACCAAACTTTTGATGACAAAAATTTTGTAAGACACTATTAATAAAAATAAGTTTGAGGTATTTTTATTTCGTCGCAATTAAATTCTCACTATGATGATTATATTTTTTTTATAATTAAATTCTCACTATAAGTATATAACTGTGATACAAATTTCTACGTAACAAAAAAATTGACACTATTAGAATACTTAAATTGACACTATTATTTGATATTTATTATGATAATAAAGTTGTCTGTCACTTAAAATTTTACTTTTTGTTGTGATAAATATTGGCATCAATAATAATTAAAATTATTGTTAAGATAAACTAGTTTGTCAAACGGTGAAATTTTATTATTAGTCTTATGCTCAAATTTAATCAATTTTAGTTTATATACATTTTAAAATTTTAAATTTCAATAACCATCCAAATTGTATAATGACTATATGAATAATAAATGATCAATAAAATTACATTAATCTTTTAAATATATTGCTTTATATTATTATGAATTTTATTTTCATTAACGAAATAAATGACCGACGATACTATAAGCTTTGACAATGTCATTTAATATTAATTTATGATTAGTTTTTCTTCAAAATAATTGATTAATTTCTAATTTATAATCTTTATGGAGATATATGTGAATTATGTAAATACCAATTATTATTAGTATTTTCTTTTCTAATTTAGGACTTTCACTACAAGGGGTTAATATATTGTCAAATATTTTTATTTTTATTTTTAAATAAAATTTAAGAACACTTGGTATTATTTTAGACTTAAATCTTAATATTTATATGATTATATTTAAAAAATAAACATAATTATTTTTTATATTTATCTTCACAAATGTATTTCATATGAGAAATCATAGAAATTTTAATTATTATTATAATAATTAATATTATATATATTAAAATAAATAAAATTAATTTCAACAATAGTTTAACATAAATATTTTTTTTTCAAAAACATATATTTCTTTTTCAGCACAGTGACTAAGCGTTGCACTATTTCTCTAAAAGTCTCAAATTCAATCATCTTAAAAGCCATGTATTGTATTAATTTATCAAAAATTAACATGTTAAACCAACAACCAGATGAGATAACAATGATATTCGTGGCTGAATTTTTGTCGTTGTTATTAATATTTCTTCGTAAAAAACTGTAGTCATAAAAAATACAAGTAATTGTGACAATTCATTAAAGTCGTCACTAATATAACAGTGATAGAGTTATTATTAATAGTATCGAACATTTGGTAACTAAAAAACAATTACTTTGACAACATTGGTGGTCGCAATATATACTTTAGTGTCAAATAAATTTATCACAATTTCTATTGATAATAGTATCGAACAATTGGTCACTAAAAAAACTTAGTGTGACAATATTAATGGTCACAAAATATATTTTCAGTGTCAAGGAAATCATCACAATTTATATTGATAATTGTGTCGAATAGATGGTAAAAAAAAGAATTGGACAATTTTTAGAATAATTGTCACTAATGTAATAGAGACAAAATTATTAATGACGACTTGAAAATTTTGTCACTATACATTTTAGTGTCTAAATTTTGTGCTTTTAGTGACCATTTGCATTGTCACTAAAGATATTTTTTGATTTCATCCTTAGTTGAGTATGTCCTATCACTCTAAAATGAAAAGGAAAACCCTAAAAATGATAAAGACATCAAGAAATCATACACAACACATAGGACGTTCATTTAGAAAAATAAAACACAAGACACAAGGAGAAACATAGAAAGCTGATCGCTCCCACTCTTACAGCCTCATCAAACACAGTACAAAGATCCCAACTTTTATTCTTAGATCGGTAATAACATAAACATCACACGAATGTTTAACATGGGATTTTTCGTTTACTAAGTGTTGAATTATTTCTCTTTGACGAGGTGAGCATCGATATCGCCGGTGAGTTCGATATAGAACTGGCGCATACTCTCCGGGTGTCCGACGCCGTCGTGCAGCATTTCGTATTCCAAAATCCAGTGCACTACACAGCCTTTACCGCCCTTCTTGGGGAGACTTTGAATAGTAACCACGAAGCTCTTGTATTCCTCCCTCAGATCGCCTTCGGTGAATGTGAATACTATTGACTTTTTGCCATGGTCATAATGAACCACCTGCTTCGCTGTTTTCGCCTTTCCATCTATATATATACACACATAATCATACTGAGATATCATCACTCGGATGCTGTAATTTATGTTAAGAGACGAATTCATAAAATCTTTAAGTTAAAATTATATATACCGTGCACGTAATTCCAGAAAAGGTTGGCACCGGACTTCCCGAATTCACCACCGTGTAGATCGCATGATTGTACTTTCTCGGAGTTGGTGTGGTGCACATCGTGCGGCCTGTGTGCCCACATATGGTGGAACTGTTCGGGAGTAGCGTCGATCTCTACGTCGAACTCGAGCTTGCCGGTCAAAGGTGACGATGCCATTGTTTCACAAACCCAGATTTCTCTTTGATTATAGCAAGGCTTAGCTTTGAACATTTGTGCATTGGTTGCCACCTTTTATAGACCGGTGTCCATGCCCATATGAATAAGAATGGGCATGGGTCGGGTTTCGGCCAATCCGACCCAATCCGAAATTTTTTCATCATTTACCTGATCCTACCCAACCCGAAAAACATATACCCTCACCCGACCCGACCTTTTGGAATAAAATTTGAACCTAATCCGACCCGACCCGAAATAATAAAAAATATTAATTTTATTTAATAAAAACTGTGATTTAATTGAAAAAAATAATATATATTGGGGTATTATTGTAATTATTCCTAAATATATAAAGTAAAATTATATTTTTTTCGGGTAGGGTATTTTTCATCAAAAACCGAATCCGACCCGAACATCACCTTTGAAGAAACCCGACTTGACCCGACCCGATACAAATCCGATTTTTTTTTTAAAAAAAAACAAAACTCGATCCGATCGGGTCGGGTCGAAACCCGTCAGGTTCAGGTCCCATGCCCATCCCTACATATGAAACACACCATATTCATAATACATTAATGTCAAACTTAACATATTTGTTATATTTTATCAGCCGGTTTAATTTTAAAAAATTAAAATTTAAAAAACGTGTAATAATTTTTTTTTGGCAAAAAGATAACTTTTGTTGATATAGTAGACCTAATTTATCACCTTTGTTCTTATCGTATTTTCGCATCGATTTAGCACTTGCGATTGTTCAATTGAATCATTCTATACCTTACCCCTAACCATAACTCCTAAATTATAAACCCTAAACCATAATCACATGATCTCTAAATTATAAGCCCGAACTTAAATTTTATAATTTAGTGTTTTAAATTAGGGAAGAATATAGAATGATATAATTAAACAACTTTGAGAGTTAAATTAATACAAAAATTCGATAGGGATAAAAATAATAAATTGAGACAAAATTGATTCTTAAATTATTTTTTTTATAAAAAATTCCAAAAACAAAAAAATTTCATTATATCATCTCAACCTAATCCAAGGATTAGCACGACATTTTGTCGGTTGAGCAATGGAAAATGGACAACAAAATTATATATTTAATCTATATAATATAAAGAAGCAAACGTTTTCCACATCAACACTATTTAAATTATTTAAATTTAAGGAGATTTTTTTATTTCTTCAAAAAAAATTATAAAATATTATTCGTCATACTATTTCAGAATGATAATAACAGTAAGTTGAAAAAAATCATTATTATTATTATTTAAAAATGAGAATGTTAATATAATAGCAAGTTGATAACAGTCATCGTCACTATCAGGAGCAATATACTTTTACGTGACTAAATTATATCTTAAATTAAATTTTGGTGTTTGAAGAATTTTTTTGTTAGAAATATGTGTCTAATGTTTTCTCCGTTATACTTTTAAGTGTCCATCGTTTAAAAAAATCGTTAAGTGTCAAATGTTACGTTCAGATTTAAAAAAAAATAAAAAAATAAACGTGACATGTGTCACTTAACGGTATACACCTAAAAGTGTAACGAAAAAAATATTGAACACCTATTTAACAATGATATATGTTCGTTTATATATTAAAAATGGTGAAATTATGTCACTAATTCTTTAGTTCATTAAAATTTACATTATGAACTAAAAAGTCTCCAAAGTTCACTCTGTATTCACTTCAGTCTCTATCTTCATCACTCTTTAAAATAAAAAATAAAAATCGGATAAACATTTTGTTTGTGAACATAAACGAACCTAGTAAATTCTTTTTTTTAATTTTTTTCAAAAAAAAATGATTTTATAGATGATCAGTCACACTTAATCTGAATGATAGATGACGATTTTATTCTCAATAATATCTAGATTTTCTTTAAATCCATCTTGAATAGAACTAACACTCAGTTGGGTATGACCTATCACTCTGAAAAAGGAAAAGAAAACCCTAAAAATATAGAAAGACATCAAGAAATCATACACAACACAAAAGCCGTTTATTTAGAAACATAGAACACAAGACATAAAGAGAAACATGGAAAGCTGATCGGTCTCACTCTTACGGCCTTATCAAACACGGTACAAACATCACACCAATATTTAACATGAGATTTTTCGTTTACTAAGTGTTGAATTATTCTTCTTTGACAAGGTGAGCAGCGACATCGACGGTGAGTTCGATGAAGAACCGGCGCATTCTCTAGGGGTGGCCGATCCCCTCGTGCAGCCTCTCGTATTCCACAATCCAGTGCGCTACACAGCCTTTACCATCCTTCTTGGGGAGAGTTTGAATGGTGACCACGAAGCTCTTGTACTCCTCCATCAGATCACCTTCGAGCATCGTGAACACTATCGACTTGTTGTCGTGGTCATAATCGACCACATGCTTCACTGTTTTTGCCTTTCCTTCTATACAAGAGTTATCATCAAAGACGAATACAAGATTTTATATTAGAAGACGAGTTCGTAAAATTATTTTAAGAGATGGAATCGAATTATCAATAGAAAATTATGTATACCGAGCACATAATTCTAGAAAATTTTGGCACCGGGCTTCCCGAATTCGCTTTCGTGTAAGTCGCATGATTGTACTTTCTCGGAGCTGGTGTGGTGCACATGGTGTGGCCTGTGTGCCCACACATGGTGGATCTGTTCCGGAGTTGCGTCCATCTCTACGTCGAACTCGAGCTTGCCGGTCAGAGGCAGCGACGCCATTGTTTCACTACCGAGATTTCTCTTTGATGATACCACCAAGGCTTAGCTTTGAGCATTTGTGCATTGGCTGCCACCTGGTAAGATATAGCTCATAAATATACTGGTAAAGAAGATAGGGTTATTTTTGTAAATATGTACCAGAGTTTATTTATTATAAATAGAGATGTAAGTTAAAACTATGAGACATTGAATAAAACTTTTAGCGTTGTCTAGGCACCGAGAACGTAAGCACATTGCTGAACCTCGTTAAAATTCTTATATTCTTTTATTTTTCTTTACCCGATTCTTCAACACACCCTTTATAAACAGGTGTCCATGTCCATATGTAGGCAGTAGGCTGCAATTCTCTCCGACGAGGCACACCAGATCATAACGCAGTAATGCTCACGCAACTGCTCGAGTGTATTTATGTCTTATTATTTCACTAAATAGCTTTAGTCGTTAAACAATTTATATAAGATATTTTATCTGTGACGCATCCAAAAGTAATTTAAAGTATATATATATATTAATACTATAATATTTTTATTAATAAACACAAATAAAATGTAAGGAAAAAATAAAAATAAAATAAAAATTAGATAAACGAGTTTATAGATGAGTGAATAAACGAGCTTGTTTGTGAAATTAATGAATCAAACAACTACTAATCCAAAAGTATTTTTGAGGATGGACACATATATATTTATAACATATACTTTTTATATGGTATAGGTGCAAATAAAATTTTAACGTAGACACTATCAATAAAATGGATAACTAACCTAAACAAAGTCGGATTCCAGTGCCCACCTTGGGTAACACTTGCATCTACCATTGGAACCGAACACATCTTTATCTGTGTTCGTTCATTAAATGAACATAAAAATTCCGTTGAACCCGTATATGTAACTTAATAAACAAACGCTATATGAACATTTCACGAATAATTTATAGACAACTCTGCTTATTTACCTTCGAAATCATAAGTCCATAGCCTAACGGCACCGACGGAATTCCAATCACCCTGGAGAAGTTTTACGTCGGCGACGAATCCATCGGACATCTTTGGTGTAAGTTTGGCTTTTTTCCGGAAGGTGTCGTAGAACTTATCGGCCGATGTCTTGACCATTAATTGGCAGTCCATCTTCCTAAATTGAGCCATGGTTTCACTTCGCCTGCTTGCTTGGAAACCGAGGAACAATAGCTCATGGGATTTGCAGTGTGAGTGTGATTAGCCGACTGTCTTATATAGAAGAATGGTGGAAGCCCTTCGGAGCCTTGAAAGACTAGCGGAGAATGGTGATTCCATGATAATTGTGGACCAATGCGCTCGACTCTTTTGCCGAGCTCAACGAATAGGATTCCCCCTGGTGATGTACCAAATTGGGTAAAGTACACAAATAGTCCTCTGATTATGGGCTACTACCTTATTAAGTTCATCGACTATTAATAGATCAAAACGGTCATCCAACTATAGAGTGCTGTTTTGTTGAGTCTCTCGACTATTAAAACTCATAAAATGGTCACCGACTATTCATTATGTTCTAAATTCATACTTTTAGTTAAAAAATTGACGATATTCGGAGTTGAACGTTAACATGCTGAGTATGATATATCCCAGAATCTCAAACAACTATCATATTTCAGTCATCATGTTAACGTTGAACTTAGATAACCCCCAATTTGGAACATAATAAATAGTTGGGTGACTATTTTGTAACTTTTAATAGTCGAGGGACTCAACATAGCAACACTCTATAGTTGAAGCACCATTTTATAACTTTTAATATTCAAGAGACTTAATAATGTTAGGAGTGTTCATAATTCGGTTAAAACCGAATAAACCGACATAACCAAAATTTCGATCAGTTAATCAGTTAGTTAATTTTAGGTTCAGTCGGTTAGCGATTAAATGGTTTTTTTCAAACTTCGAGTTCGATTAATTTTGGTTCGAAATCAGATAATTAATCAAAATTATTAAATATTTAATATACTATATATATTATTTAGCTTTAGGGGTGTTTAAACTTCGGTTTTAACCGAATAAACCAAAAACATTAAATATTTAATATATATTATATATTATTTATAAATTTTGGTAATTCAATTAATTCGATAAATCGACCAATTAACTAAACTTAAGTTTGGTTAATTTTTTTTTTGAAAAATTCGATTCGATTAACAATTAAAGTGAAAAAGAATAAGGTTAATAAAATTTGAGTAACTCGGTTCGGCCGGTTAACCGTTTGAACATCTCTAAATAAGGTAGTACACTTTAGTCAGGGACTATTTGTGTACTTTACCAATTTTTTTAGAATAATATGGGGTGATTACAAGGTAATATTTAATCTGAAGTTTTATTAATCATTGACAACGCAGATACACTCAAAATGCATAGATACTCGAACTCAAATCCTCTAATAAAATCAACACGCTCCTTTTTACCACTAAAAACCACCGGATTTTTAAAAATTCATAGCATAACTTATACCTACTCTTACTATTATTATTCTATATTTTTTATTATGCTATCCAAAATGACAAAAATCTTACTATTGGTTACACAAAACAAGTTTTTCTCATTATTTTTTTAAGAAATTTTAAATTAATCAATACATCAAATGACTAATATAAATAAAAATTACATTCAATGATAATAATAAACTAAAATGATAATCATAAACATAGAGAATTATATAGAATGAACAAAAAAAATAACTTTTATTTAATTTGAGAATATAACATCATCTCACTTATTCAAAAACTTTATGAGTTCCTAAGAAATAAGATCAACAAGCACAGTGACACTCGTTAAACTGACAATGGGCAAATTTACATTCTGGTGTACAAAATTTAAAGCATTTTCCATCAGGTCTCTTGTCGTCTTTATCCTTCACACAGTCCCCCAGTTCTGGAAAATTTTTACAGCATTTTCCATCACCAGCAACTCTCATGACATCTGTAATATTATCCAATATAAATAATATTATATAATTTTCTCTTATATCACTAAATAACCACATGCAAAAATACAAAAAAAATACAAAAAAATATTAAAAAAAGGAGTAAAAATAAACATACCTATGGATAGGACCAATAGAGCAAGAAGAACAAACGATACAATTTGTGTTTTTGCCATCTTTTTTTCTCTAATTTTTTTTGTATGATTGAATATCTCATTTTGCATGTACTATTTATAGTGTTTAATTTTAATACGTTTCCTTAAGTAAAAACATTACATTTAATCTGTTTCTTTAAATAAATAAAATTACATTTAATCCCTTTTAAAGCATGCAAAACGTATATAAATATATTATTAACAGATTCAAAAAAAATTCCAAATAAAGACAATTTATTTTGGGATACAATATACCGATATTTTAGTAATTTTTATATATTTATTTTGTTACTTTTTATGAATTTTTAACTTTTATAACTTTGGTTAAATTTATAGAAAAATGGCTAAAAGACACCAGAGGTCCCTGTGCTTTTGAAAAAGAATCAATGTGGCCCTCATATTATTTTTTTATCTCAATGTGGCCCTCGAACTTAGAAAACAAACTCAATATGATGACCCTTTGACCAACGTTTTTTCGTAATTGTCAGTGCCATGACAACTCACGGTGCTGACGTGGTAGTCCATATTGTCATGTTTGAGTTGTCAATTTAGTCAATCTGCCGTATCATTTGCCATGTTAATATGTTATCCTGGACTGCCATATTAGCACTGTGTACTGTCACGTCAACACCGTGAACTGCCAAATCAGCATCGTAACGGTCAACGACGAAAAAACGTTGGTCAAAGGGCCACATTGAGTTTATTTTTTGAGTTGGAGAGCCACATTGAGAGAGAAAAATAATATGAGGGCCACATTGGTTTTTTTTCAAATGTACATGGACCTCTGATCTATTTTTGCCAAAAAAAATCTTATTCAACACTACATTCTTTAATTATAGTATAATTTTAATTAAAAAATCTTGTTAACAAAATTTGGACTGAGAACACGGTGCCAAATAAACTTTTTCTTTTGAACAATGAAATTTATTCCTTATTTATAGTATAATTATAATTAAAAAATCATATATTAAATATAATTAAAATAATTAAAAAATACATTTTGATAATAAAACAAATACAATTAGCAAAGTCCTGGATCCGGGCCAGGCCCAATACCGGTATACAAATTTTGTTCAAGGTGCATTCTCAGCCCAAATTATTTATCTAAATGGCCCTTCTACTTTAGAAAATTGTGTATTTGAACCTAATACTTTTACTTTTTTACTAATGAATAAAGGGGAAAATTACCTGAATAAATGTCGTATTTTGAATTTTGGAATGTTCTTTTATTAAGTTTTTAAATAATATCACTAACTAGTTGGTCTAGTGGGATGAGACACGAGATTCTTTAAACAAGATCAAAAGTTCAAATTTCGATATTTGCGAATAGAATAAACTACTTGGAGGTCACCATCATAATGGGCCTATGCAAATTTCGATCAGAAATAATCTATATGCAAACATATGTTTTTTTGGGTAAAGTACACAAATGGTCCCTTGACTATATGATACTACTTTGTTGAGTCATCCGACTATAGGGAATTGCTTTGTTGAGTCTCTCAACTATAGGAGTACATTTAAGACCTTGAGGTATTAAGAAAATAGGCATCGATATTCTGGGTCAAAGCGATCAGGCTTGCAGCATACTCGACAGGATCAGGGATGTCCTGGTTCTGTTTCTCGAACTCCATTGTCCACTTCACCAAGGTTCCCTCACCGGTTGGCCTGATGTTAAGGATGTTCCTCCAGTTATCATAAGAACGCAGGAGATCACCCTCCACCAATCTGAAAACCATTCTCTTATTCTCTTCGTCCGCGTCCTCGAGTATCTCTTTAACCACCTGAGACTTACCTAGAGGACGACATCGCACATGATTAGTATTGATTATTCATACAAAATGTGTATGTACAAGAACGAACGCAAAATTTTAGAGACTGAAATAGATTATCAATAGAAAAT